CTTCCGGCATATGAGTAAGGCAAGAAGGATGAGCTGAAAGGAATCAGTGAGGGCTGGGCCAGGCAATGCAGCAGCGGGCTTGGGCTGAAGCCCTGTCTGAACCGGCTGTGAGGTCCCAAGGAAGTGAGGGGAGTGGCGGGATCACCACCACAGCAGGTCTGAGTCCCTACTGCTCATTCCCAAGGCAAGAATTTTCAGCAGTGGGCTTCTATCCACCACTCTCAGGTCCTAAAAAGTGACTAACAGAAGCTGCTGGTGCAGCAGGGGCAGATCTCATGGGCTAGGGAACAAAATAAAAATTAGAGAGAAAATAAAGGACCCTTGGTGATAAGTGAAATAAGGTAGCAGTGAGTGGAACAATAAAACAGATAAGTACCTATTAGGGATACTTGTCCACAGTCCCGCTGCTTTTACATCTACTCTGTAGATGAACACAGTTGGGAATTTTCCTTAGGGGTGGAAGGGGGCTATGTGGAAATCAGAAGCACCCATAATCCTACTCATTCATTCATTCATTCAACAAGCTTCATGCAAGGCCTACCACAGGCCAGGCCTAAGACACAGTGCCTGCCCTCAGAAAGTACCACCAAGTAGAAGAGATGCCTATAAATGACTCAACAAGGAAATGTAGTTAAAGACGAAGGTGCGCTAGCAACAAAACAGCCATCGTCTCCTTGCTTCATGCGTCCTATGGGGGAAGATCTATGAGAATGACACTTCTGGTCTCTCTCCACTCCCTCATGGGCTCTTCTCAAAAGAGGAGAAGACAATGATCTACATGCAAGTCTGTGAAAAGGAACACAGCACAGGTGGCTCAGGCCTCCCTCCTTCCTGTGGGGTCCCCCCACCTGCTGTGGGAGCCCCGTTCTCTACTGTCTGGCTGTCGATGTCACAGTCAGGCACTCCTGTGGGGGCAGTGTCACTGCTGGGATGCAACATTAGCAAGACCACTTTATCATTTAACCCAAAGCCAGAAAATATAACCCATGTGGCCTTGTAATGAAGATGACGTTTTTATCTCCTAGATGGTCACTCTCTGTGACTCAGTTCTGAATTCAAGCAGGGTTCAGAGCCATCATCTCCAGCTGCTTCTCTGCTGCAAGTGTATCTCATCTGCCCTTTTCCTCAGCCGCTGTTATTACCTATCCTAACAATATTTTGGTGATGGGTAGGGTTTTTTTTCCACTCTTTTACAGGACAAAAACTGTAGAACCTGAGCACTGAATGACTCATCAGAGACTATTTGATAAGTCAATTTGTTCACTTATGATGGAAAATTCAGATTCCTTAACACGGATGTCATTTAGAGCACATAGCCTTCTGATTGCAATCTTTGCGTGGCGGGGGGTTGGGGGATGCTGAATATTGGAAATCATCTTTCTTCCATGTAAGAGGGGCTATTCTATTAGACCTGGAATAGAAACACTATGTACAAGGTCCATCTGCTCCACTTTACTTAAAGCACTGTGGATGAAGCAAGAAGATAAACTGGGGACAGGGACTTGGAAAACCCTTCTCTTTGTTTTGGGACATTTATACTTCATTCATGAAACAATTGTTGTGGCCCTCTAAGTGGCAGGCACCAATCTTGGAGTAATGAGATGAATACAGCACAGTCTCTAATGAGTCCACTCTTTTTCTTTCCCTGTTTAACACTGCAACCCACTCCTGTTATTCAACAATGCCTCAACAGGCACAACCATTTATACAGTCTATGCACGGAGAGTGGATCACCCTGTGGTTTCTGAGTGCCACCTCCTCTGTAGTGGTCCTAGCTCTCCAGCTATTTGGGGTAACTTATTACAGTACAATTTTTTTTTTAAGAGACAATGGGTATCAGTATAATCGCAATCTGAATGCAGACGATCACATGTTCTATGGCTGGAAAGCACAACTCCAAGGTGCCCAGATGCCCACCCACAGGTGCCAGGTACTGGTCAGGCTAGGGAGCAGGAAAGTAGGATCTTGTCATTAAATTCAAAGAAGAAAACACAAATCAGGGTAGCCATAAAACAATAAACAAAAGGCACCTCTTCTTCATCTTAAACTCAAGGCTACAGGTTCAGCAAAATGAATGAGCTCCCTTCTTGCTCTTCACACTTTTACAAGCTCAAGCTTTACAAAAACAGGTTGCATATCACAAAAACCTTCTAATTTGTTAATTAGAAAGTCTGGCGTGAATAAGTGAAAATTTAGGATACAAAACACATGCCAAATAGTTTTGTTTGTTTGTTTTTTTAAATGGAGAATGAGAGGGAGTTCAGATAACATTTACTGAGAATCTACGTTCCAGGCACCCTTGTATAAGCCTCTTCCTCACAACTGTTCTGGATAGTAAATAGTAATGGAACCTCCTTTCTCCCGCCAGATGCAAAAATTAAAGTTCAGATGTTAAGTAACATATATTATGTTGCCTATTCCAGTTCCTCTGGCAAAATGTCTTATTCTCTGAATCAGTGTTTCTCAATGAGCTCGGGCCACTGATTGTTACTTGGTTTGGGGCTGAGAACTTCATAGGGGATGACCATGCCCTGAGGGACAGTTAACATCCCTGGCTCATGAGCACAAAATACCAATAGCAGAACCCAACAGCAGTCCCTGCATATCCTACACATGCCTTAGGAGGACAACACCCCCTCAGATAAGAACCACTGCTCTAAAAGATTTTTTTAGTATCAAGACACAAGGCTGAAGAGAGGGACACATCCTTTAAAAGTGCCCCCTACCTTCAAATCTCTGGAATGCTAAGAAAGTCCCATGCTTTATGGAGTCAGTTACAAAAGCTCCATGAATTTATTTCCCGTGCATTCCAAGAGCATTTATTGATTATCTATTAAGGGTCAGGTACTGTTCCGTGAATATAAAGTCAAAGGGAGTATGGTTCCAACTCCCAAGGGGTTACAGTCTCCTAGTCTAGTGAGAGAGAGGTTAGATACGGTGAGAGCTAGAACAGATGTAAGCACAGGTGCTAGTTAGGGATGCTTAGTGCAGAAGGCACCTCCCATAGACAGGACAGTCCTGGGAAAGCAGACAAACGGGAGGGCTGGGGCAGGTTCACAGAGGAAGTGAAGTTTTCCCTGAGCCTCGAAAGACCAAATGAGAGTAGCCAGGAAGGGCCCAGTCTAGGCAGAGAAAAATGCCTTTGCAAAAACCAGAGAGGAGTCATATTTACAGCCAAAGTTTAAACTATTTCCTCCATTCTTCAAGTGGAGACCTCACTGTGATTCAAACTCAGGATCTCCTGTTTACCAGACAGGCATGTTAACCAAGTAAGTCACTAGATTTATTTTCCTTATAAGTTATCCGCAGTCCACTTGTATTTCCTGCCAAAGCCCTTGTTTTCTTAGGTATAATAACCCATCAGACAAGAAATACGACTAATTCTGTACTTCCAGTGAGCAGGATATTGTTTTCAAGTACATTGTGAACTGGCAGGCAGCTGGAGTGTCCCTCACTGGGGATACAGAAAACTGGGGAACAGAAGAGGTAATATGTCATCCGAGGAGTGAGGTGGAGGGGTGTCCCTAGGTCGATATACCCTTGGCCTCAAGCTCAGGATGAACTTTACCTTGTTGGGGTTTTTTTGTTTGTTTGTTTATCTGAAGTCTTGTCTCACTTATTATCAACTCTAACATGCAAAAAGCTGGTTTCTCACTCTATTAATACATTTGCACAGAGAACTTGGAAAAGACTTTGGCTATTTGTTTGTTCTTTTCGAAGGCATATATGTTATAAATAATTTTTAAAAATATGTAAATAAATATATTAGATATGGATAGATAGATAACTAGAAGTAGCCAGCTGGGGATCTCTGAACCGGAGACAACCCAAAGGCAGTAGTTTTCTGCAGGAATGGAAGCTGAGCCCAGGAGCTGGGTTGTTGCTCCTTCAGGGTGAGTAATTATAAAGAGTCATATTAGCTTAGTTTCTCTCACCTGGGGCGGGAGGGCGAGAGAAGCAAGCAAGCCCTTATGGCTCTTTCTTGCCTCTAGTCTACAAGGAACAGCTCATTTCCCCTTGGCAGGAAGCCTGATGCAACTAGCAGGCATGTTTTCTTTTTCCTACACACCCCCAACCCCTTCCCCTCTGACCTGAACCCCACTGAGGAACCATAATTCTGTAGGTGAACTCGGCCCCCTTTCGTCCCATGATTATTTCATTGTATCAGTTTGACCCCTAATTTGACATCACAACCATGTCTGGTCCACATTATTTCCCCCCAGAAAGTACCCTCCACAAGAAAGCCCGCGTCCCGAGCGAGGAGAACCTGAAATGAAAACTCGGGATCCCTCACAAGCCGCCTGCCCCCGCTTTCAACCAGGAAGTTCAGAGGCGGCGGGGCCGCTGCGCCCCGACGGCCGCGCCAAAGGCCAGAATGAGCCTGGGAAAGAGCTCAATTCACCCAATTCGAGGAGGCTGGCTCCCCTCTGTATCCCTGGCTGGTTGCATTTCGTTTCTGTAAACTTCGGAATCCCGGGAGGGTTGCAGAAACAGGGACAGGTGTAGGGGCACCTCCACTCTCGGGGAACCTCCGCCGCCGCCCCGCCGGGCGCGCACGAGGGACCCTCGACCCAATCGCAGCGCGTGCGTCCCGATGACGCACCTGGCCGGGGCCCCTCCGGCGGGCGGGGGGCGAAGCGAGCATCCCCAGCCGGGGGCCGGCCCCCGCGGGCAGGGCGGCGAAGGGGGCACCTCGGGGCTCAGACCTCATGCCCGTCTCTCAGGCTTTCCCCCCATTGCCAGCGCATCGTTTCACATCAGGGACACTCTTCGTCTCCAGCCCTAAAGTCCTGCACACCTACGTGTCTTTCCAAAGCAACTGAATAAAGCGCCTGCCGGCCTCCCGTGGCTCAGGTGAGCGCCCAGGGGTGGAGGAGGAAAGGGCCCGCTCGCCGCCACCCTCTTTCCTCTCCTCCCCGCGTTCCCCAAGATTCACCGGGGATGTGTGTAGTGCGGTGCGCGGGTTAAGAGGGAGCTTAAAACGCCCCAGCGTCCCTTACCTTCCACAGCCATTCTCTCAGAGCTTCCCTAACGCATGCATAATTTTCTCGGCCGAGGTACTCCTCCTGCCCCGCGCTCCCCCCCTCCTCGCGCTTTCGCCTAAATATTCTGCGCTCATCTGCTCCAGGACCAACCTGCCGCGGTCACGCACAGAGAGGCTGCCGGCTCCCGGCTCCGCGCAGGGCCTCCTGGGAAGTGTAGTTCCCTCCCTTCGCCCGGCCCCGCTAAAAACACCCCGAGTCCTCGGCGGGGCGCGCCCTCCCCCCCACGCTTGGACTGCAGCTCCGGCTGCAGCTGGCCCACGCAGAGAAATCCCTCCTGGGGAGTCTCATAAGCGGACCCGGGGACCCCGAGAGGAGGCAGGGACTACATTTCCCAAGATGCCCTGAGCTGGGTTTCGTTCCGCACTTGAGTAGAGACCTGTGATTGAGACCTTGCCTTCAAGTAAAAGGGGGTGAGCACCTGGCAGGAGTAGAGCGGGCGGCTGGGGGCGGCGGGGTTCGCGGTGTGATCTCCTGAGCTTGTTTTCTGGCCTCCTAGGCGGCCCATTTAATGTCAGCAGAGCCCGCAGCGGGCTACGGTTCATCGCCGGGGTCAGAGCGCCCTTGCACGGGGTGCTGTTGAAACTTGTTCTGGGATGTGTGGGGTTTGGCTGAGTCCTGGTGAGTAAAAAAGCTGATCCTTCACGTGGTTCAGGTGGCTAACACTTAGCGTGAGGGTGGCGGATGGCGTCAAGTTCCCCATCAGGCATCACCCCTAAGGAGCAAAACCTAGGAACCAGATTCCACCTGAGGACGCCAGGGAGGGAAACCTGCCCGGCTTCCAAGGCAGGTGACTTGCAGGTTGCCTGGCCTGGGACCTGTGGGTGGCCTGTCGTGGGGCCTAATAATGAACAGCGCCTCGAATCAGTGTTCTTTCCACTTCTGAGCCTGTGCCCTAATTCCAGGTGCTGGGCGTGCTTGGAGCACACAGGAAAAAAGAGTCCCATGAGGGCAATAGAATGGCAGAGTGGGCAAATCCTGATACAGAGGAAGTTCGCGAACTTTCTTTCCCCTGCGAGGGGAAATACAGATGCATCTGTGGCTGGGAGAGTAAGGGAATGGCCTTGGGAATAAAACGCACTCGGGACTGCAGTGAGACTTTTAAAGGCTTTCAGTCCAGAAGTGCACAGGGTACCACTGCCACCTGGTCCCCGGCATTTCTGGCCCCTCCCCCAAATGTACTTTTAAAAAAAAGGAAGGAAGGAACGACTGAAAAATAACTCTGAGGAAGTACAAAGATCTGATCCTTACCATTATCAAGACTACTTAGATTTTCTTTTTCTGTCTTGGTCATAACTTTTTTGTTTTGTCTCTTTCTGTGTATAATAAGCACACCTGCTTTTTTTTCTTTTTTTTTCTTTTTTTTTTTTTTACCACTAAGCAGGTGTACTTAGTCCTTCTATTGGGTACTATGGCTCTGTCTGGGTCTTTATAAAAGACCTGTGTGTATCCATTAAAGGCCCTTGGTGATACTCTGAGTCCATAGAGCTGTGTGCAAATCAAACCCAAGGCTTTGGTAAACAGAAACCCATTCAGTGAGACACAATTGCCACGGGCAAAATAATTTCCCCAACCACATATGCAACCAAGCATTCCAAAAATCTGGAAGGAACTGAAATGCAGGTGCATGTCTCCCCTCTCAAATATATAACATGACCAAAAGCATTCATTTCCTTAGATTGAATGAATGGAAAAGGCAGTCGTGGGACGACAGGCAACATCAATAGTTCTCAACTTTGTGCATCAGCCTTTTACAAACACAGGTTCCTAAGCCCTGCCTTAGTCTCACAGAATGAAGATTTTTTTGAGGTTTGGGTAGGGACGCTTAAGTTTTTAAAATCCATAGGTGATTCTAATCTTTAACGAGGGAGAAAATCATAGGTTTGCTTTCAAGCTTTTACGGATCTGGATGATACTAAAATGTGAAAATCACTGAAATCCATTTTTAATTTACAAACCTCATTTCATTGCTTCTTGGCCTATTGGCTGAGATCAAGTATAAAAATCTCATTTCAGTCGAAGTCTTTAAGAGCTTTCCTAACTGACATGCATTCCAGTTGGAGTTTCCTTTTTAGTGTAAGTATAAATAAGATGTGAAGGAAATATTTGTTTAACCATATGAAATAACCAACATTTAACTTTGTGAAAATCTATAAATGAAGTGATTTTATGTGATTTCACCTTGGATAAGCAGCATTAAGCAGGGTTTTCAATTCTGAGTATTAGAATCACATTGGAAGCTTTACACAAACACACACAAAACTTCCCAGTGGAGTGGCCAAAAGAAACAGACAGAAAATACTAATTCTTGACAAGATTATGGACCAGTATGGACTCATGTATACTGTGCAAATTGATACAACCACTACAGAAAATCACTTGGCATGTTAAGCTGAATATCGGCTTATTTTGTGACCCAGCAGTTCCAATCAAACATCTATGCATACACTTTTCCAAAAAACATCTACAGGAATGTTCATGGCTGCATTATTTGAATAGCTACAAACTGGAAACAACCCAAATGTTCATCAACAATAGATCGGATAAATGAATTGTGGCATAACCAAACCATCCTCTCTAGCAGGGATTGGCAAACTATGGCCCATGGGCCAAATATCGCTCACTGCTTATCTTTATATGGCTCAGGAGCTAAGTGTAGTTTTTACATTTTCAAATAGTTGGGGGGGAATCAAAAGAAGGAGAATATTTTCTGACACATGAAAGTTATAAAGAAGTGCCCACATAATATCCTCAGTTTTTCTTTTAGGTCTGCAAAGCCTAAAATAGTTCATATCTGGCCCTTTATAGCGAAAAGCTTCTTCTAACTCTACTATAAAATGAGAATGAATGAATGAACATGGTCGAACCATATGCATTAGTTATCTATTACTGGTAAAAAATTGCCCCCAAATATAGTGGCTTAAAATAATGCTCATTTATTATCTCAAAGTCTGTGGGATAGAAATCTGGGTGCAGCTCAGCTGGGCACCCTGCCTCGGGGTCTTTTAACAGGCTACAGTCAAGGTGTTGGCTGGGCTGAAGGCTCATAGGGAAAGGATCAGTTTCCAAGCTCACATGGTTGTTGGCATATTTCAGCTCCTCACAGGCTTTTCTTGGTTGGAGGGCCTCATTTCCTTGTTGGCTGTTGGCCAGAGACCACCCTAGCACGTTGCCACAGGGCATCTCCAATATGGCAGCCTGCTTTATCAAAGCATGCAAGCTAAGAAGGCAATAGAATCTGCTAGCAAGATGGAAGTCACAACCTTTTATAAGCTAAGTGTAGAAATGCCATCCCCCCTATGTTGCCATATTCTATTAGATACAAGTTTTTCAGGGGGAGAGGATTAGACAAGGCCACAAGTAACCAAAGGTGGGGATCAGTGCAGTTGATAAAGTACTGTTCTTATGCCCAAAAGTCATCATGATGAATTTTCACTTTCTGAAAAATGGGAGGGGTCCTCAGGCTGGCTCCCAAGTCTGCGGCATGAGCTACACGGGGAAAAATCAAGGAGAAAACGTAGGCAAGGTGCTTACAGAGTTTGCAGAACATTTGTGGAAGTGATTATTCTCAAAGACTTGTTGCTGACTCTATGGTTCCATCTTCAACCAGTTCTGGAAAATAAAGACCCTGGGACACACACTTCCTCCCCTCCTCCAGCATGGCTGTTTGTGCAGAGCTAAGAAGGAAAACATGCCACAGTTGAATAGAGTATTTCAGGCATAGGACATATGAAGTTCATTTACTAGTGAAGTCATATCTAACACAACTAAATTTAGCAAAGGGGAATCAACGCTTATATAAGGTTAGATTCTCAAGTAAATGTACAGAGTAAAAATCAAGAATGGGCTACTTTGTGCTTGAAAATGCCTTATGTTGCCCCTTGAAATATAGAATATGTAATTTTATGCACACAATCCTGTAGAGCAACTTCTAGTACATCAGAATTAGAGAATATCAAGGAAAGACTACAAGGAAGGACTTTATGCAGATGGGTACATATTCAAAACAGTCTGCCCTTAAGATAATCAGAGTCCTAGTTCTGATGGGAGGATGGTTAGACAATTTCCCGTTTTTCCTCTTGGATTCTAGTACCTTGATATGCTGTTTGATTTTCTGAGACTTAGATGAGGTCATTAAAGCTCCATCTTACAGTAGAGTTGGGTCTCTAAAAAAATGGCAGTTCATTCAATAGATTTAACCCATCTATAGGAATCAAATACTTAGGAAGGGGTTACAGTTTGCCAGAAATTCTTTTAAGTGCTTTAAAAATGCGCAGGTGTTCTGGCTCTGAGGGCCATGTGCTCAAACACTACACTATGGTACCTCTCTAATTTTCCAGGTACCGTGTTTCTGCCACAAGCAGTTTTGGAGAGTAGCAGGCCAAAGTCAAAACAAGAGGCTGCGTATATGGATATCAGGTGTGGTCGGTCCCCGAGGAGCATCTCCTTGTGCCTCTCATCTTGAAGGGCGGGTGAGTCATACGGATAAGACTTCTGCAGCCTTTTCTCTTTGGGAAGCTCTGTGCCTTGTTATTTTCCCAGGGCCCGAAAATAGAAATCCAACATATTGTGTTGTCACCAGAGAAAAGGATGGAGTTGAGCCTTCGTGGTTAGAGATGAGAAAGGTCCATCACTTGTCAGAAAGTGAGAGTCAGGGGAATTCATGCAGTCAGAGCCTGAGAGAAAGCACTGCAGGTGCTGATGACAGATTACTGTCCTCATAAACCTGAAGGCATGATCTAGGGCTCAATCCTAATGTCTGCCAAACTCAAAGGAGTGAAAGAAAAATGGGTCAGAGGAGATGACTTAGGTTGCACCTGGGAGGGAAGGAGTGCAGCGCTCCCAAGATGTGCCTTGTGAGATAAGGCAATCATTAGCATAGCGCAGGTCCAGCCCATGGTGACTGTTAGAGAAAAATGTGAAGTCTGGTTTTATTCAAGGAAATGCGAATCTTACGGGGGTGGGGAATATTGAGCTGATTTTTGCCCCGCCATTTTAAATGCTAGTGGGGTGGGTGTATCTGTTAGGTGTCT